AGTTTTTAAGTTTTGAAGTTATAAAAAAAGACAATCGGTAAAGATATTGGTTGGTTTGTGCGACTGTGTTTTTAACTAATTTAAATGTTTTAAATCAAATCTGAACATTTTTTAAATGTATGTGAATGTATTTACGTACAATGATCTTGGTCCATGATTGAAGCTATTGGCCTTTAATTTATTTATTTGATATATTTAGTGCTCACGATTAAAAAAAAAAAGAGTTTCCCTTGAAAGTTTAAGATTTATATTATTATTTCTTCCAAAAAATTAAGTAAATTGTACATCTGATCTAATGAAAAACCGTTTGTTTTATTAAGCTTTTACATTTTATAACAACTTTCACTTGAATAACCTTTTTTATTTAAACATCTTCATTTAAATGTTCGAAGTAGTTTGAAAATGGTTATGCAGAAGCAACCGCCTTGCCGACTGCTATCACAACCTCAGCAGCAATGGGAGCCAAAAAGGGCAACCAGAATCCTCCTTGGGCCGAAACACCGTCGACTTTCTGGGATGATTGATCCTTATACCTCCTCACAAAATTATCTGCATTATGTCGATCCTCAGTTGTTAAATCCAGCTTATTAGAGTACTTCTCATAGTAGTCTACAAATGCAGGCACATTGCGGGCCCTAGTGGATGTGTCAGCCGGAGGGTTGCCAAACACGGCGATGAGTCCACGACCCTTAGTGACGAATTCATCATCACCTTGGCAGTGTCCGGTTCCCAGGAGACATCCAACGACAACCAAAAGGCAGCTAAAAATATTAAACATATCATTTTTTTGGTATTGACTCACATTTTCGTCACAGCTTACCTAAATTGCAGTGCGGAATTCATCTTAGACGGTGATGTTACTCCTCGAACTGATCGATTGAAACTTATAATTAGTGCACTCCATACTTCTGTATTTATAGCTGATTTCAGTCTGAAAATCTGCTGTGTTTTCATATTGGGATTATCAGGTATACGGATGCTAATTCAACGTAAATAGCTGACTTATCAATATCACCGTGTAACGTAAAAAGGGGGCTTGTAATTAATGTAATCATCGACGTGGGAGAAAAATGCAAATGTCATTGATAATAAAATAGTTATTCTTGGAAACATATTGATAAGCGAATTCTTAGTTATTAGAATAAAATGATTTTTAATTTATGAATTTCATTTTAAAATACAGATGACATGTGATTATATGGCAAGGTCAAGATATATATATTATGAATAAATCTAGGACTTACATCCCCGATATCTATATCTATAATAGATAGACACTAAAATATGCTTAATATTAGGCTTCAATGTGGCAGCCCCAAAGTACTTCCTCTCCCCAGATAAACCAAACCAAAAACTCCTCCAACTATCACCCGGTGTGAGCCACCAAGCAACAGAAAGTAGTCAAAAGTTATAATTTCAATTTTGGCAACAAGCGAAAACTTTTCGCAGCTCGTTGGTGACTTTTGGCCGAAAACATCTAGAAAATAATTAAATAAGAAAAAAATGGCCAAGGGATGGCCAGCAACAGCACAAGAAGCCAGGAAACTAAATGCTAAACGGGTCTCAAGTGAATCGCGACAAGCAAGCTAAAATGCAAAAAGGAGAAATAATAATAATAATAACAGAAACTGCAACTGCGACTGCAAGGACCAACAACTGCATATGCACTTGTATCCTTTCGTGGTACTCCAAGATCCCCAGGACTCTCTGGTCCTCTGGTAAAAATCTGACCATTGCCATAGCAAGGAACGTAAAAGTTTTTCAATTAAATTTGTTTAGAATTTAACTTGGCAATTGGCTCGAGCTTGGCTCTGCGTCCTGGAGTCCTTCAAGAAAGTTCGCAAGGAATCCATTTCGACATTAGATTGGAGGCCAAAGTGGAGAGAGTCCAAGAGTATTTTTCTTTATTTATTTTTTTCACCAAGCAAAACGAGGAAGAGGAAAAAAATGTTAGCAATAAATAATTAATTCGTTTAACATTCGATCAAAATGTTTTGTTTGCCAATCCGTGTGGGTAATTAAAAATTGATAGGTTCATTGTGGCATTAATTGATATTGAACGTGAGTGGCGTAGCAAAGTGCCCTGTTTCAATTAGGCCTGATTGATGGCTGGCTCGTGCATTTCAAAATACACTCCTTGAATGTAAGCAAATATGTCATCACTTAATTACATGCCTGTGATTGTAAGCTCAAATCTCGTACAGTATAACTATTTTATATGCGATTAACAACATTAATCATAAAGAAATGTAGACACAAAAACAGCCATAGATTTTATGAGTATTTTTATATTTGAACACTGAAATATTCACTTTATTAATTCACGATTTTAGTTTCCATTCTACATTTCATCTGCACGTCGAACATCACATGTCAAGAAGAAGGAGGTCAGATTTAATTAGTCCCCCAACATCTATAGTTGTGTGCGTGAGTGGTGTTATTCGATCCTTGTTCATGTCCTTTATATTCCTGCCCTTATCTCTCACTGACCTCTCCAATGTTTAAGCCTTATCAGGGCGTTAAATCCATTTTACATGCTCCATGAAACAAATTGGGCCGCACATGACATTAATAAATTACACGGAATAATTTTGATTGTGTGTCCGTCTGTTGGCCATTAACAATTTATATTTTCCAAGACAACATTTTTAAATGCATATTTCTCTGTGTTAATGTTGGTATTTTCAGTTTAAAGCCCTCAAGCTTGGGAGTGAGATTGAAATGGAATTATTATTATTAATAATTAAATGAAAATTGTGTTCCTCATTAACACACATAAAATATTCAAAAAATTCAGTAATTAAAAACATTACCTTTTAAAAGTAATGTTAATTAAATCAGTTAGTAAAAAAGTCTGCCTTCGAAGGAAGTTGATATAAACGAAAGGTAATTTTTAAAAAACTTTATAAGTATCAGATCACCCTCTTCAAATTCTTACAAATTTATGCAATATTTCTAATTAGTAACCAAACTCAAAGGCTTTAGCATAAACAAATTACCTCACTTAAGACCGCATTAAACTCTTTCCAACTTTTCCAACTTGTCTTCTAAACGACCTTTTCAATACCACTTTCTGAGAGCTTCCATAGCTACCTTTCTCATAAATATTTACATATTTTAATGCGAAATTAGACAATGCCACCCAAAAAACTTTAAGGAAAAAAAACTAATGTCCTAAGCGGTTGCCATTCCGTTGATTGGCCAAAAGCACCAACAACAATGGCGAGTACGACACCCAAGATATTACAAACAAAATGCAAAAAGACGGCAAACAACGTTGCAAAAAGTTAACCCAGCAGAAGCTTCAACAGCAAATAAAAAAAAATATTTAAAAAAAGTACACAAAAGTGAAGGAGAAAGAAAGAACTTTATGCTAATTTCACTTTTCTTGAACGAAGGCATAACCCAATTTTTCTCCCTGGTCGTCTCACTTTTTTTCTTATTGCCATCCAGACCCGCCAGATAAACGGCGCCAGAAGCTGGAAGGAAAGTGTATATAACTTGAGGTGTGTGTGGGATGGGTCTGAAATGATAATTTCCAGCATTGAAGGCCACGCGAAGATGGGACAGAATCCGAGGAGAACGTGACCCAAGAAGCGAAAGTGATGGCTCGAGGGATGCAATCAAATTTGATATGTAAACTTTAGTTTTTTTTTGTTTAAGATAATAATGTTAGAGAAAGATTTGGTTAGCCCGAAGCACATGAAATGTCATAGTCAGAAATGGTAGAACTTATTATCTTTATATTTTTTTTTAAATATTTATTAACTAACTCAAAAGCAGACTTTAATAGAGAAAACAAAAGATTTTCTGTTTATATTAAAAAAAGAAAAAGTAGTGATTAGGAAAATTGTGTAAATTATTATTATTAATCATTAAATAAAAATCATTTTGCTTATGCCCTTCTGATCTCTACTTAAGAAATATTACTCTTTAACATCCCTCGAAAGTAAATCACATTAATATATTGCTTAGCAGTTGACTTAGCCCATAGAGAAAGTCATAAAATGAATAACTAATTAAGGAACTCCAAGGAAGGGAGAATAGAGCAGGAAAAGAGTAAACAAATATGGCAAATTAACATTTCTGCTGCTTTATGACGCGTCATCAGTCACTCTTTTGGAGCCTATTCAAGAGAAATTCCCATCAAAGATCCAACGTCAAACCTGACGACAGGGCCAAGCACAGGACGACTATTCCATCCAATTGGAGTTGAATACGAGAAACCACAGGACTCGGTTCATATTCACATGCGCACTTTTCAGCTTCGATTACACGAGGTTGGCAACATGCTGCCTCATGCTGTAGCAACTATGTTGTGGCTCTTCTCCTTCGGTTTGAGTGAAAACAGACGGCAAACATGTTGCATTAAAGAACATGTTGCATGGCTGTGGTGTATATGAAGAGGGGTTTCCCCTCCAAAAGTTGCTCGCAACAAAAAGTTACCGGTTCCAGATACATTTGTTGCTCTCACAGCTCAGTAAGCGAAACATGTTGCGTAGATGAGTTGATACTGAAAGAGGATTTTCCTCCAAAAGTTGGTTGCGACAAAAAGTTGGCACTTTCTATATACATCAGCTGCTGCCACATTGTATCAAACGTGTTGTTCACAACATGAACCCTAGTTTCCAAGCATATTCATTTTCAACAATTAAGATTTTAAGATTTTATATGACATATTGAAGAAATAGTTTGAAATTGTTTCCCGATATTTGTTGTTTCTTATATAGTATAAATACTTGATTAATAAATCTATATATATTTATATAAATTGACTAAAAATTAAGAATTATATGACACAATGCTTTTATCAATATTTCCAAGAACATAGATTATACGGATTATATTGATAACTCAGCGATTTTCTTTGAATTAGCATACGTATACCTGATAATCCCAATTTAATAACACAGCAGATTTTCAGACTGAAATCAGCTATAAATACAGAAGTATGGAGTGGACTAATTATAAGTTTCAATCGATCAGTTCGAGGAGTAACATCAACGTCTAAGATGAATTCCGCACTGCAATTAAGGTAAGCTGTGACGAAAATGTAAGTCAAAGGCAAAAAAAATGATATGTTTAATATTTGTAGCTGCCTTTTGGCTGTCGTTGGATGTCTCCTGGGAACAGGACACTGCCAAGGTGATGATGAATTCGTGACTAAGGGTCGTGGACTCATCGCCGTGTTTGGCAACCCTTCGACCGATACATCCACTAGGGCCCGCAATGTGCCTGCCCTTGTTGATTACTATGAGAAATACAATAATAAGCTGGAGCTAACAACTGAGGAAAGACTTAATGCTGATAATTTTATAAGGAGGTATAAGGATCAAACATCCCAAAAAGTCGATGGTGTAACGGCCCAAGGAGGATATGGGTGGCCCTTCAGATGCCCTTTCTGCCCTCCTCCCTTTTTTCCAGATGTTGTGACAGCCATCGACAATGCCATTCCTAAGCACTCTTAACTATTTCGTAATTATTATACTTGACACATTTAAATGAAGATATTTGAATTAAACAAAAAGGTTGTTCAAGTAAAAGTAATTTCACAATGTAAAAGATAAATAAAAACTTTGTAAATCATATAAATGTCGGATTCTAAATTATGATGGTCAGTGTAAAAGAATGTGCCAAGTGACAATTCACGTCTCTGCACTCTAACGGTTGTTCGTTAGTACGCTTTGTTCCATCTATTCGCCAGATGGTCAGGTTACTTCGATGCGAATATGAGAGAGAGATGTAGCGTGAGGATAGAAGTTTGAGAGAGAGATACGCACTATGATTGTTGTGCGTGTATGCTTGAACCACTGCGAGAGACAGAGATACCAGTATATTCGTTGTAGCATGTTCTGGAAAGCATTTTCGGTATGCTAAAATGCTGCTGAGGACTCTCAAGTTCGCAGTGGTGTGATCATGTCTATTCGCCATAAGCAATCTGCGTTTTTTTGAATATGGAAAACCTTAACCCTAATCTAACATATACATATACATATATATCTTTTATTTATTCTATCTGCTATATCTTTTTGAATAAATACATCAACACCTCTTACCCAAAGAGTAAAGGGTATTAATATCTTAGCATCAACCCAAGCCAATAAATTACATTATTTAGGTATTTGTTAGATGGATTCTCAGGTCTTGAGTTCCAATTTAAAAAGTCGTCAAGACTTTATTACACCCGTTACTCGTAGAGTAAAAGGGTATACTAGGTTCGTTGAAAAGTATGTAACAGATAGAAGGAAGCGTTTCCGACGCTATGAAGTATATATTCTGGATCATGGTCTATAGCGAAGTCGACTGAGCCATGTCTGTCCGTCTCTCAGACTGTCCGTCTGTCCGTCCGTCCGTCCGTCCGTATGAACGCTGAGATCTCAAGAACTATAACAGATACAAAGTTGAGATTAAGCATGAAGATTCTTGAGGTCCCGGGACAGCGCAAGTTTATTTCAGCATCCTCCCACGCCCACTCTAACGGCCACAAACCGAGGAAAACTGTGGCCTCTATAATAATAATATGAAAGCCTTCGTTTGACCTTGTATAACTTATTTCTGTTTATATCTATCGATTTACCAAAGATTTTTCAAATCGGAACATTATTGCGCTACTTATGAAGAAATTTAGGTTATAAGGTAGAGACGTCACTTTCAGTTACTCAACACGCTTTTTTCGACAATAGATGGCGCTTGGGGAATTTTAACTAGCAAAATGAATATTTTAAAATTGTGTAAAACAGTAGCGGGAATCTTATAGTCGCGGCACTCGAGTACAGGGTTTCCTCTTGTTTTTTGCTCATTTAATGGGCAATTTCATTTGATAATGTAAGATTGACTGAAATTATTACAACAGTATTATTATTTTAATGGATCAATCTGGTATTGACAAAAAATGAAAATGTGACTTCTTACGGTTTAAGCCGATAATGGTTGCTCCCATACGCCTGGTTCAACTCATTATTTTGTCATATATCACTAAGCCAGTAAAAGTAACTAATTTAAAATATTAGATATCGGGGATATAAATGATGGACTTATGTATAAGACTAATTATATATATTTACCTTACCATATAATCAAGTGTAATTTTATACATCTGTAATTTAAAACGAATTCAATAATTAAAAATCATTTTATTCTAATAACTAAGAATTCGCTTATCAATATGTTTCCAAGAATAACTATTTTATTATCAATAACATTTGCTTTTTTCACCCACGTCGATGATTACATTAATTACAATCCCCCTTTTTACGTTACACGGTGATATTGATAAGTCAGCTATTTTCGTGGAATGAGCATACGTATAGCTGATAATCCCAATTTAATAACACAGCAGATTTTCACACCGAAATCAGCTATAAATACGGAAGGGTTCAGTGCACCAATTATAAGATTAAATCGATCATTTCGAGCAGTAACATCAACGTCTAAGATGAATTCCGCACTGCAATTTAGGTAAGCTATGACGAAAATGTAAGTCAAAGGCAAAAAAAATGAAATATTAAATATTTGTAGCTGCCTTTTGGTTGTCGTTGGATGTCTCCTGGGAACAGGACACTGCCAAGGTGATGATGAATTCGTGACTAAGGGTCGTGGACTCATCGCGGTGTTTGGCAACCCTCCGGCTGACACATCCACTAGGGCCCGCAATGTGCCTGCATTTGTAGACTACTATGAGAAATACTCTAGTAAGCTTGATCTAACAACTGAGGATCGACATAATGCTGATAACTTTGTGAGGAGGTATAAGGATCAAACATCCCAGAAAGTCGACGGTGTTTCGGCCCAAGGAGGATTCTGGTTGCCCTTTTTGGCTCCCATTGCTGCTGAGGTTGCGATAGCAGTCGGCAAGGCGATTGCTTCTGCATAACCATTTTCTAACTACTTGGACAATTTAAATGAAGATATTTAAATAAAAAAGGTTATTCAAGTGAAAGTTGTTATAAAATGTAAAAGCTTAATAAAAGAAACGGTTTTTCATTAGATCACATGTAAAATTTATTTAATTTTTTGAAAGAAATAATAATAAAAATCTTAAACTTGCAAGGATAAACTGTTTTTTAATTGCTTAGCACTAAATATAAGTGCATCTTTCATAACTGAATTGATATTAAAATATCGACCACAAGAACAGATTTTTAAAAAATTAAGTTTAAATAGGAGCTTTTAAAACAGAAGAAAGGGTTATTATGAATAACATTAAAACAGAAGAAAGGTTTATTATGAATAACATTATCATTGCGTTCGTGACCCTTTTAAATAATTTAGTATGGAGAAATATTTATAATAAATAATAAACAAATTAAGTTCTATCAAAGTTAAAATTCTTTTTAATGCTGACCTCATAGCTTTTCCACTTGCAATATTTTTGTACTTTTACTCTTATTTCACAATCTGAATAGGTAAAGCCATTCTGATTTTAATAAATGCAGCATGTTTTCGGTTGTTGTCAAAATTGAATTTTTCCAGGAAAAGGAAGTATTTTGGAGCTGCCACACTGAAGCATATTAAGCATATTTTAGTGTCTTGAATATGGAAAATCAACCTATAAATATAGAATGTTCTCCACGTAATGGTTTAAAAATTTTGGTACTTCGAGTAAAATCCGAAAAGTTTACAAATTGAAGCGTTTCTGTGGCTTTAAACAGCAGAAAGCAAAAAGTGAAAATTGAAAATTGAAAAAATTTGTGAAATTTGCTTTACTTTTTGGCTAACCACAACAAGTTGTGAGTCGAGGCACAGCGCGATACCAAGATCGAACCAAAAATTCCTCGAATCGGGTTTAGCCAAATAAAGTAAAATAATTTAAATAAACACGAACAAAATGCTTCAAGAAAACAATGGAATTGCTGTAGAGGCAAGTGGTGCTTCGTAAGAAGAACTTGCAAGGGATAGCCAATAAGGCAAACCCATCAGCTTTAGATGATTCAACAGCAAAAATTCACTGCGAATCACACAATGCTGACCAAAATTGGCGTCATTAATTTAATAATTGTCATTTTAATTACAAAATATACAACACCACCATGGCACTCATGAAGAAATATAAAGAGCCTCTGATGAAAGTTGATCACGCCATGGCACGTACATCAAAGCAGGAGCCTCAAAAGAAGATGCATCAAAAAGAAGCTTGGTGGAACTCGAGGACAAAAGAGGTGAGGCAATACATAAATGAAGTGTATGCCGAACTGGAGCGCAGCAACATGGACATCCCAAGGACAAAATGAACTTCCTTTGGTCAAAGGTACAGACCACACTTTCACAATTAGAGTCAAAATATGAATCATGTGCCTTTGAAATCGACACGATCAATGAATTAGAAATTCATTGCTATCTCAGAAAATTGATAGAAAAATAAGCGACTTGAGCATCCTAAAAGAAGTTATTCCAGATCTTCCTCAATTTAATGGAAACCCAAAAGAGTGGACCACATTCTTCGAATTATTTTCCGGGGTGATTAATAGGAGGAAAGACATCAGTGCCACAAGGAAACTGAATTATCTAAAATCATGCCTAAAAGGAGAAGCCAAAATGTTAGTCCGACATTTGCAGCTACCAGCTATAACATGGAAGCTAATATGCAAGCGCTACGAAAACAAGCGCAAAATATTTGCTGAGCGCGTCAGCCAACTGTTGGACATGGAACTACAGAAGATCAATGATGAAGGCAGTATCCATAAATTCCTGGACACAGCAACAGAGTGTATTTATGTAATCAAAGAAAAACGCCAAATGGGCAAAGAAGCTGATGCCATATTCGCACAGATTTTGCTGCGCAAAAGGCCAGGGAAATTCAGGAGTTTGATAATGTGCTGGAATTTATTGAGCGATTGTTCAACTCAATAGATTTAGTGCAAAAAAGTGTTATCTATGTAGAAGCAAAGAAAACGAGCCATAAAAGATGCCGTTTTACGCAATCAAAATTGGACACAATGCTCCAGTGCCCATAATAACTTACTCCTTGAGGAAACAAATACCAAGGAGTCAGTTAGCGGCAATTTCCTCAACCAGCACAGAGGGCAAGATACGTTGCTAGCAACTGCGCTGATTTTAGTAAAAAACAAGAGGAAACGCTATAGTCGAGTGCCGCGACTATAAGATACCCGTTACTGTTTTACACAATTTTAAAATATTAATTTTGCTAGTGGAAATTCACAAGGCGCCACCTATTGTCAGAGGAAGTATGTTGAGTATGCTTATGGTGACGTCACTGCCCATATGGAGCCTTATAACCTTAATTTCTTCATAAATAGCGAAATAATGTTCCGATTTGAAAAATCTTTTGTAAATCGATAGATATTAACAGAAATAAGTTACACAAGGTCAAACGAAGGCATTCATAATAATATTATAGACTCCACAGTTTTCCGCGGTTTGTGGGCGTTAGAGTGGGCGTGGCCGGATGCAACTTTGTGGAAAGTTGCAGAGGCATCTCCTAAATACGTGTTCCTAAGCAAAATTGTGTAGCTTTTATAGTTTTTGAGATTTTTGCATTTTTGGTTTTTCGGGTTTTGTGGGCGATAGAGTGGGCGTGGCGTGATCGGAAAAAACAATTCGCATTGGGAGCATCATAGAAACATACATGCTTGATCCGAACTTTCTATCTCTTATAGTTAACGAGATATCAGCTTTTCTAGAAAATCCGAAAACCTTCTTTTGAGCCTTGTGGGCGTATGGGTGGGTGTGGCCGGATAGTAGTACCACTATAAGATGCGCTGTCATCTAAAGATTATACTTTCTGAATTTCAACTTTCTATCTGCAATAGTTTCTGAGATTTCAGCAATTTTAGTTTTTTGCGATTTGTGGGCGTTAGAGTGGGCGTGGCTGGATGCTGTAATAAACTTGCGCTGTCCCGGGACCTCAAGAATCTTCATGCTTAATCTCAGCTTTGTATCTGCTATAGGTCCTGAGATCTCAGCGTTCATACGGACGGACGGACGGACGGACGGACGGACAGACGGACATGGCTAAATTGACTTCGCTATTTATCCTGATCAAGAATATATATACTTTATAGGGTCGCAAACGCTTCCTTCTATCTGTTACATACTTTTCAACGAATCTAGTATACCCTTTTACTCTACGAGTAACGGGTATAACAAGAGGAAACGCTATAGTCGAGTGCCGCGACTATAAGATACCCGTTACTGTTTTACACAATTTTAAAATATTATTTTGCTAGTGGAAATTCACAAGGCGCCACCTATTGTCAGAGGAAGTATGTTGATTATGCTTATAGTGACGTCACTGCCCATGTGAGGCCTTATAACTTTAATTTCTTTATAAATAGCTAAATAATGTTCCGATTTGAGGTAAATCAATAGATATTAAAAGAAATAAGTTATACAACGTCAAACGAAGGTATTCATAGTAATATAATAGACACCACAGTTTTCCGCTTTTTCTAGGCGTTAGAGTGGGCGTGGCCTGATGAAACTTCGTGGCAAGTCGCAGAGGCACCTCTTAAATAAGTGTTCCTAAGCAAAATTTTGTAGCTCTTATAGTTTTTGAAATTTTTGCACTTTTAGTTTTTCGGGTTTTGTGGGCGTTAGAGTGGGCGTGGCTTGATCGAAAAAACAATTCGCATTTGGGGCATCATAAAAACCTACATGCTTAATCCGAACATTCTATCACTTATAGTTACTGAGATATTAGCTTTTCTAGAAAAGGCTCTTTTGAGCCTTGTGGGCGTATGGGTGGGTGTGGCCGGATAGTAGTACCACTACAAGATGCGCTGGCATCTAAAGATTATACATACTGAGTTTCAACTGTCTAGCTCCAATAGTTCCTGAGATTTCAGCTATTTTAGTTTTTTGCGATTTGTGGGCGTTAGAGTGGGCGTGGCAGGATGCAGTAATAAACTTGCGGTGCGTAGGGACCTCAAGAATCTTTATGGTTAATCTCAATTTCGATTCCCCCCAGAAAGATCCAACACACACACATAAAAAAAAATATACGGATGAGCATCCCAAGTAGGCTGTTATCGATAGACAGCTTATATAGAACAATTCGACACTGACAAATCGCCACGGACGGTGGCCTAGGGGGTTAGGGCGAGTCCCCAAGAATCCGACGGCATGGGATCGAGTCCCCCAGAAAGATCCAAAGATCCAACACACACATAGAAAAATATACGGATTGGCATCCAAATAGGCTGTTATCGATAGGTAGCTTATATAGAACAATTCGACGCTGGAAAATTGCCACGGACGGTGGCTTAGTGGGTTAAGCGAATCCCCAAGAATCCAGCGGCATAGGATCGAGTTCCCCCAGAAAGATCCAACACACACACATAAAAATATATCGTAAGAATCCAAGTAGGCTGTTATCGATAGATAGCCTAGGGGGTTAAGGTGAATCCCCAAATATCCGACGACATGGGTTCGAGTCCCCCAGAAAGATCAAACACACACACATAAAAATATATCGAAAGAATCCAAGTAGGCTGTTATCGATAGATAGCCTAGGGGGTTAAGGTGAATCCCCAAGTATCCGACGACATGGGATCGAGTCACCCAGAAAGATCAAACACACACACATAAAAATATAACGAAAGAATCCAAGTAGGCTGTTATCGATAGATAGCCTAGAGGGTTAAGGTGAATCCCCAAATATCCGACGACATGGGTTCGAGTTCCCCAGAAAGATCAAACACACACACATAAAAATATAACGAAAGAATCCAAGTAGGCTGTTATCGATAGATAGCCTAGGGGGTTAAGGTGAATCCCCAAATATCCGACGACATGGGTTCGAGTCCCCCAGAAAGATCACAGATAAAAAAAAAATATACGGATTTATCATCCAAGTAGGCTGTTATCGATAGGTAGCTTATATAGATCAATTCGACGCTGACAAATCGCCACGGACGGTGGCTCAGGGGGTTAAGGTGAACCCGAAGTATTCCGGCGGCATGGGTTCGAGTCCCCCAGAAAGATCAAACACACACATAAAAATATATATATCGTATGAATCAAAGTAG